TATACGTGAATGTTGCATTTTTTTTTATCAGCAGACTAAAATTGCGAAAGATTTAGCAATAAATCATCATTTCACATTTATCAAAAGCTATTTGGAATTTTCGTTAGCAGAATCAGTTATTTAGAATTTCGAATTTATATATTAAAATTTTTTCTTTTCATAACTGCAGTCGCACAAAACGTAATTATTCAACTAACTCGTTATTAAAATGATACTCTCAAGAAGGCATATTTATTGCAAAAACTATAACGTCGTATTTTCTGGCGTTTGCTGAGACGTATTGGCTTACCTACAGCTACTGCTTCAGCACTATTAGTTGCCTAAACCATTCCCTCCTAAATAAACCTTGTCTACCACGTTCCTCTAAAACTCGTTTTTTGCTGCACACTTTACTTGCCTCACCAAAGTTCTAAACGGAAATGCGTTTATTTGCTTGCCGACCATTTTTTATATTACAACTAGTCGCAAATCAAAAAGTAGTAAGCTGATAGACTGCGCTGAACGACGTTTCTCCAGCAATTATCAACACTGCTTGATGCTTCAATTTGCGGACGTGCTTCCTCGTTGTACATGAAAGAAATGGCGCTTTTGAACAGCTTGTTGCCATTTCACAAAAACCAGCGAAATAGTTGCCGTATCCGAACATCTTAAATTAAAGATGGCTGAAAAAGGAAAAGAACTTGCACAATCTGTAAAATTTTGACTCACAGAGTAAACAAGGGCAAAATCTTTAACATCTCCCTTAATTTTCTGCACAGTTTAAATGTTTTCAACGTAACCAGAACCTTTGCTGTTTATTCTTAGCTAATATATTTACAAGAAACTAACATTTTTTACAAAAAACTAACATTGCGTTCAAGTTAAAGCCCTTTTCTACGAAAAGCCGCTTATGTAAAAATGTTAGTAACACTAGGCGAAAAACAACTAAAAGATCACTGAACTGAAAACTAAAGAAACGGCTGTTTCGCTAAAGAATTACGCTTTTATGACAATCTGATAAAACTGAAGAAAGGGCATCCGATTATAGATACAGCTTACCTCTTGAGTTGTTGCATGCTGTCTCGTAATTTACGCTATCAGCCAGATTTTCATCCTGCTGCTTCTTCAGTATTTTATTTGAAAATTGATGTAAGTGATCATTTGGGTTGAGAAGTGAACCATTCTAGTTGCACCACTTACAAGGGCCATTGATTTCTGGTAAACTTTCATCAAGCCAAAATTCATCCAATGGTCGCACACGCGGATTAGTTTGAATATGTCTGTTCTGTGAGGCATACGATTTCTCTACAAAAGCAAACTGGATGTTCTGCAACTGATGAAACTGACTGACCGATTTTCGCAGAAGACGCTAGCACTATTACAACCAGCTGAATGCCACAGCGCTTTCTAAAGTAACAAAAGTAATGCAATGTCTGTGCCGAAAAAAACATTTTACCAGCAAGTCTCCTATAACATTCTTGCCGTACTTTCCTTCAAGATGCTCAACAATGAAGTCATTAGAGTATATACGGCCAAAAGGCTCGTTTCTCATGTTCATTTCACTAGCGACATTTCTCAATATGGCGCTCTCCTAAACAAACCAAATATTTATTTAGTGGCTATAACTCGGCAACGTTCACACTTTTTTAGAAGAGCTTTTGAAAAATATGCAAAGTCGGCAAAAATAATAATTTAAGAAAAAGAATGAAGTTCACAGTGCTGCAACTGCCTGGAATTATTAAGGACCTTCAATAGTTTACTTGGAACTTAAGTGTCACTGCTGGTCTTTCCGGAATTGAAGCCGGTTTAGTTTCCCCGTCTACACAGGTCAGCTTGTAGAATAATTGGTTGCTCTTTGTAAATGGATCAAGATTTATGGTCAAAAAAAGCTTCTCCAAATGAAGGAAGCTCTCGGAATAAGAAAAAAACGAAACGCATAATTTTTGCTTATTAAGCTGCACATATAGAAAACTTTACTGCTACAAAAAAAACTAGAAGTGAATTTTTTGACTTTTTCAGGCGTGACTTTCTCAGGCTATCTATCGGCTGCTTTGATTTCGCAAAGCCACTGATCCACAATTAGTAGCCTTTGTGGCACTACTTCTGTCTCGTAATCATCGTATGCATGACAAACATCCATCACGCGCTAAAAGATAAGTGATCCTACACTTGCATAAAAAACGGCAACGAAAAGTGAGCAAAAGTAGTGAACTTGAACAGCTTCTTCCTGAAAGCTTCTTCTTTCGCGGTGAGTAAGGTAAGAGCTTGTTAACTCTTTCCAAAGCATCTGACAATGAAATACTGATATGTAGCTGGAATCGGCCGGTGTGAAATGATTGAATGGAGTCTTGGCAGATGGCCGATCGTCCGATTGTTGGTATGCCAACTCATACGGCATTCTTTCGCGCTGGAAATGCTATTCAATACAAACCTTTGCGTGCATAATTTTGCTAGGTAAAGATCTCCACCAACCTCGCGGAAGCGGTTATAATATGCGGTCAACTCACTTTAACTTAGTTAGCAAACTTACTTTCTCAGTTGACTTCTCATTAATTGTTTTCGACTGCTCAAGATTTCTACTTTTGATGCTATCCACTAATTCTTGTTTAAGAACTTTCTCAGCTTCCCATTTCTCAGGCTTCCATTCACCAGGAATCTCATTTTGAGTTTTCATATCGTGAAACTCATATGTGAGGGAAAGCGTTTTCGGTAATAGCGTCATTACAACAATCGTTGCGTATTTACTCACCTGCAAACAGCACTAAAATTTTATCTCTCTTTCAGTTAATAGCTTTGAAAACTTGGATAGGCAGGACACTTTTCTACTCCATGGTGAATAACAACTTACTGGAGACAATGTTTCAATAGCCTCTAGCATGATACATATCCCATAAAACACAAAAACCACAGTCACGCACCTAAAACAAAATGTTAATTAAAACTGACAAAAAGATAAACGTTCGGAAAAATGCCTTTTCGCAGCCGCTTACAGCCACTGAATTCAAGCGACAATTATTTGACGACCAAGCGCCAGTAAACATATGGTAAGACGCACAAAAAAGATGCCCAAAAAACGTGAGGAAGCGTTGTCTTAATTTTCAAGATACATACACTGACGCTGTTTTGTTGGAAAGGTCGCCGGTTGACAGAAGAATTAAAAACCATGTCAGGAAGTGTAGAAAGCTTCCAAATACAATAAACGGTGGTGTTCTTTCTAGCGGCACAAACCGTTTTCCAACCTCGTACGGTAATTGATCGATGAAGAATTTTACAGCCCTTGAGTAGAACTCCGGCTGACATCTGGAATAAAAAGATGATAGTATTTTTAGGGAGCATAGACTATTCTACGGCAGTAAAAAGCACGCTTCTTTGCACAGTAAATTTGCCATGCTCTTTTAAAAAAAATTACTTAAGAAACGACAACATAGATATCTTGGTGCACTTCTCCAGTGAAAAAGAAAAAAGAAAATTTACGCACATTTTAACAATAAAAGCCCTCTCTATTGTGCTAACTGCAGCTAGCACTATCGCGAAGTTCAGCGTTACCAAAACCAAAGACGAGTTGGCATATTTGTTGTCAAACGTTCCAAGTACAGCCCATGGCGTTGTTACATAGTCCGAATTCAGAAGAGTCGTGAGAAACACCATGAGTAAAGCAAAAACGTAACAGAACGGTATATTTCGCTGAAGTGATGAACACTCGAGGATTCAGGTTCTTACCATAAAATTTACACGTTAGCAGACGATTAGTGATGATCTGAAGGAAATATTACTTCCAGAAGAAATATGCGTCAAAAGACTGAACAAAGTCAAAAACTCAAATTCTCATACAACCTCTTTGTGCAAGAAAAAGCAAGATTCTTGACGGTTAGGCTTATGGTCACAAATCATCTATTTAAAAAAGCTATGTACACTCCGTGCTTGTTATGGTCGTTGCATCATGTGTAGTAGTTACCCCCTGCCTCGTCGTATTTTGCGCAGACGTGTTAACAAAGTCTGCGATCTTCAAAACGAAGAAACGCTTTCGCCGTAACACAACAAATTTAGAAAACCAATACTGTGATGCTTCCCAGGACTAAACCCTATCCCTATTTAAGCTTTAACAGCTTGAATTCTAACTGCACCAGCACCATCTAAAGAGACCAATGTAGCTCTACGGTACAATTTGCTCAAACGTAGCTCTGAGTTCAAATGCCGTATCAGGTACTGAATCGGAGGATTGTTGTGTAGTGCTCTGTCCCACGCATCAACATGCACACCGCTTACAAACTTGAGCACATTTCTTGCTTCCTTTAAATAAAAGCAGTGACCTGAAAGAAGAAACTTTTGGGCATCTTAATAACCGCTTAAGCGAACAAAATGAGAAAATTTCTGGACAAAATTCTTTCAAAAAATTTCGTACCTGCAGTAAATGAAACGGGTCAATAAGAAAATATATATACTTGAGCTCCAAAGGTGGTACCAAGACTTAAACATAAAAATACTGGTGCCTACACGGGAAGCTCAATACCGTTGCAAAAAGAACCCCTCTAAGTCTGTGGTTCTGGAGAAATTCATGCGGGTACTGAAATAAAAAGCTAATGAACTTTAGAAGAAAACCACTTTTTAAATTGAACGTTACTCATTTATTTCTTAGAGAAGAAAGAATACTCAAAGAATAGAGCTGGGACGTACATCTGCTTCGTTGTCAGATTCAGTAAAGATATAGTGGTGAAGCAGTAAAACAACTGCCGTAACGAAAGTTAGAAAGAGAAGTTCATACCGACTGGTTTCGAAGTTAAACCTCTGCAATTAGAAATTAATAATTTACTCATTAAAAAGCA